TCGCACCCCAAGGTAAACAGGGAATGGCTCTGACTTCTGGCCACATAGCTTCACCTGAGATTGCCCACCATCATGAAGGCCCTTAATGTCCACACACTTACATAGAGACCCACAAACTTGCATACACTTACATCAGCCATACATTTACAAATACATAGACAAATAGACTCACATGCACTGACGTGTCCATACACATATAAAGACCCAGACTCATACACTCACATGATCTATACACTTATAGAAACCAATAGACTCACATACTCTAACATGAAAGCCCTTAAAAGGAACATATATCGATATATGTATATCATGTATGTGGAGGGGGCTCGGTGAAGGATGCCACTGGGCAACGCCAGGCTACACGTACCTTGAGGCTACTGGACAGTTGTAAGCATTGACCCTCCAACAACAATTGAGGGTGGTGGAGCGATGTTCACAATGACGGACCACCAGGGGGAAAAATACATCAAGGTGGCACAGTGGGGAGAACAGAAGGTTCATCTGCCAGTCATCACCAATAGTGGAGGATTTATGCTTCTCCCTTTTTTATATAGTCAGGTCCTGCAATTCTTTTTTTAATCAGGGCTCTATGACACAATCAGCCACTATTGAGTCATGACATAGCCAACATCGTGGCGTATAGGCTAGATTATTGCAACTCACTAGTCTACGGGACGTCTGCAAAAAGCATTAGGAAGCTGCAGCATGTACAAGATTATTTGCAAGATCCAACCATGTCCGTCCAGTGTTCACGGAGCTGCATTGGATTACACTTGCTAAACGAATACATCACACTCAATACACACAAAGTGCTTACCACAAATGAACCACAAATTAACCACAACACCACTGGGGCAATTAACTTTTAAATATAGATTGAAAACTACTTTTTTTAAACTCATGATTGAATGTAGTTTGTTGTCCTTCACCCGTACCTGCAATTGGCACGGTTGGCTATGTATGGTGCGAAATAAGTTGAACATACACACGTAAGTTAATGGACACAGTAAGAGAAAAAAATGCACGTAAATACTTACATCATTATCACCCTTGCCACGTGTGCCATATATTTCTATGTGTCTCAACAGATGGGATCCAGCTCTGCGGATGACACCAGCAGAGGCACTGGCGCACAGCTGGCTGAGGGATGAGGAAATTCCGAGGGATGAGGAAATTCCGAGGGACGAGGAAGTGCCGAGGGATGAGGAAGTGCCGAGTCAGTGTGTCCCTGTTGTGGACACATCAATCCACTCAGAGGCATCCGCCAAGGAGGAGACTAGACAGTGGGGTGAACCCCTGCAGAAAGAGAAGAAGAAGTCACGTCTGGTTCGAGCATACAGGGCCGTATGCTCATTCTTCCGTGGCTTTAAGAAATGCACCGCATGCGACCGTAATGCTCATCCTGGGCGCGTACACATTCCACACACCGTATACACACACGCTCGCCTAAGCGAATACATGAGCAACTTCCGGTGCTAGCATCAATATCAGATCCCATCTCCTGAGTTTTTTACCCCCACACATGTAGAATGAAACCCCTCTTAACGACGGTAATTGGTTACATGAATACGGTCATTAAGTAAGTTGGTAATTAAACAAGTACAGTCGACCCTTCCACATCGCGGGGGTTAGCGGTGCAGGCCCCGCGATCTGGAAAAACCAAGTTAAATGTTTTGGTCCCTTTGGTGAGCGAAGCAAGCACCTCCAGTTACTAAACTTTTCAAATTATCTCTACATGTTCAGCTTTGCGTGTCGTCTGCTGGCTTTTGAGTTCTTTTAGCAAACTTAACTTTTTACAAAATGTAACTTTAAAAAATAAATTGTGTATATTTATGGTATTGAAAGATACAATAGATTAATATACAGTACTGTACATATATTTTATGGATTTATGAGTCCCTAAACTTTTTTTGTCGTCTGCTGACCTTCGCGTGTCATCTGTGGCTTTCGCAAAACTCCCAAAAACTCCCCAAAAATTCCCATTTTATTTCTTATAACGACCCTGCAATATATTGAAACCGCAATGGGGAAAGTCGCGGTGCAGAAGGGTCGACTATAATTTGGTCATTAGGCAAGTATAGGAAAAACATGTTAAAGGCTTAATTTGTTTCCATAGCATCAAAAGTTACCCCTTTTCCACCCATAAAACATACTTTATAACGTTTAACAAATGTATATTATCAAATAAAGTTACTAACCACATGATAAACACATAATATTAGAAGAAACATGGTTAATTCATTAATATTCCATTGTAATAGAAAATCAACAAAGTTGCATGATAAAGCGAGACGAATACAGCAATATTGTATAGAGTAAAACACAGTCCGCGATGACACGCGAGATGCGTATGCAGGCTGAACAATGACTGAGGTGCATGGGTAGCAGCTAGATTCGCCTTGCGTGATCTTATGCCGAGGCAGCCATACAACCGCTTATTCCAACTCGCACGGCATAGTTCTATTCACTCAATCGCGTTTATCCAATTCTCATCCGCGTCATAAAAAGAATGTGTTCCTTAATACAATATTTGCGTGATGAAAACATGCTTTATAGCAGAACTGACTGTACACACTACACACACCACACACATGGGACTAGCCCATTAGTGTAGTTAGCCCTAAGCTGGGCCCTGCCATCCTGGTTTTCATCCGGGCAGTCCTCAGAGGATGACCTCGCCACGGTTTCCAGGACATGGAAGGGCATAGCTGAACCAGCATTTGAGAGCTGAGGTGGCCTGGTGATATCACAGATGAAGCCAAAAAGGGCAAGTACCAAGGCCACCTGTTAACAGTTAAGATTAATTTTATTCATAGTTATATAAGTATCATTGTTGGTTTAAAAGACGTAATAAAAATACAATATTCGTAACATCGTCTCAAACTCGTCTGTATGTCATGCAACTCGGAGTTCACATGAGCGGGGGAGGGGACGGGGAGGGGTCTGGGTCTTGACTTCACCGACTCCCCCTTGAAACCCACGGTGGGACTTGTGCCTCATCATGCATAGAACGGTTCCACTCGGTGTGGACGCTGATGCACAGTGGCCCCGATGAGTCACTTTCGGCATGGTCTGATTAAGGGCCCTTGCAATCAATAAACTCAGCCTGTCGACTTGACTACCGCTATGATGTGTTTACACACATTACGTGGTGCAGTTTTATCCTCTGGTCAAAGTGTCCATTACCTCTACCGCACCTTTGGGCCCCAGGTGCCTCCCAAAAACCTCTATCATCTACACACTGCAAAAATTAAGCCTCGAGACCTCATGCACCGCCCTGAACGTGTGGTTAAGATGGTGATGACTTTAATGTACACACGTGGACTTTCGATTAGTAAGGTTGGCTACATATACTGCGAAAGAAGTTCAACATACATACGTGGGCAGAGTCAACCGGCCCTTTATGTTCATGCAGGGCGTTGGATGCTCACTTTAGTTTGGTAAACTTAGCATCCCACCAACTCCGAAAAAGCAAATACGCACACTCCCACCTCCTCTGATACTCTGTAACACTCGGCTTGCTATCAAGGCCGATGAAGACAAAGCATCAGAGGGCCTCTCTGGCTCACTTTAACCATTTGTTCTTACAAGTAAAACTCTGGACCGGTTTTAACATTCAGTGTCTCATCAAGAGTCAGGCTTGCTTGAACCATTTGTTCAGTTCCAGCAATACTCTGGACCGGTTTTGACTTTCATTGTCTCATCAGCAGCAGATTCACCTTCATCAGGCTCAATCGAGCCTGACTCTGCCACTGATGAGAACCTGAACGTTGAAACTCGTGTTAAATGTGATTCTCATCGGGCCCCAGGCCCATGGTGTAAACCAATGCATGCCTGCAGCTCTTAGCATCCAATCTGCCTCTCTCCTGGCTTCTCTGTGAATGTGGTATGAAGAAGAAAGGAAGACCATTTCCCATAACGTCGCCTATTGTGCCTATTGCATATTTTAATTCAGTCAAAGCCTCACATGCTACGCTATTATTGATGACATGGAGAAGGGTCATTGCAAAAAAAGTGACCAGTTCATTGGTTGATGACGTCATTAGATAAGGAGGGGACGGCTTCCCTGACGTGAAAAGAGTGCAGAACACTCAGTGCAAGAGAGAGACACAGACACAGAAATAAACACAGCGACACAGAATCATGAAGACACAAAAACACACAGAGACACAGAAACACAGTCACAGTGGCAAAGAGACACAGAAAAACAGAGATACGTAAACACAAAAACACAGAAACACTGAGACACAGAAACAGTGACAGGGACACGGTCACGAGGAATACAAAAACACAGACACAAAGATAGAGAAACACATCGTGATGTGGCCGAAGACGATGGTGGTTGGTCATGGTGATGTGGATGATGGTTATGTGGATGAGGGTTATGTGGAGGATGCTGATGTGGCTGAAGATGATGTGGGTGGTCATGATGATGTGGATGATACTGATGTCGATGATGATGTAGATTATGATTATGATGTGGATAATAATGATGTTGGTGATGATGTCGATGATGATGTAGATGAAGATTATGATGTGGGTGATGATGTTGGTGATGATGTGGGTGAAATTAGATTCGAAGCTTTCGTGACTGCAGGAATTATGTGGTGCCACCACGGCGGAGTAGCTCCGTTGGGGACCGTGCCCACCACCGCGACACCACCCCTGGGGTGTGACAACGCCGACGTAGCGCACTTTGCCGCACCCCCCCCCCCCCGCACGAACGCCGGAAGGGGAGATCACCTGGCCGATAGGTTTTTTTCCAGAAGTCCCTAATGGGATTAAGTTTCATGGTTTCCTACGGCCGGAAATTTGGCCGATCTCCCCCCGTAGCTGACACGAACCGCAGCGCCGTGACCTGATATTAAAATCACGTAGTCGCGGCGGAGGCCGTAAAGCCACCACGGACGAAATTACACACGCGGCACGGGACGTGTGAACCACGAGATGCCTGTTGTTATAGATGGAATTAGGAACTGAATGCCCCTGATTATAGGTGAGCTCACGGATCCAAATGACAACAGGATAGGAGCATTCAGGCCTTTGAATGAGAAGGGCGACGAGGGGCGGAAGCATCTGAATGCCTTTTGTGCTAGATAAGGTCACAGGACGGAATGCCTTTGTTAGGATCAGGGATCTAGATAATAAAGGGGTAAGAATATCCAACATCTGAATGGACTGGGCCACCTGGGGTGTGAGAACCACAGTGCGCCTTTATTATGAATGGGATTAGGGACTCGATGACAAAGATATAAAAATAACGTGACCTCCGATTGGCCCGGGCAGCATAGGTTTCGAAAGCATCGGAGTGCCTTTTGTTATCAGTAAGCTAATAGACTCGAATATGAAAAGGCACGGGCGATGATGTGTAGGGTCCGTGCAATATGTTTGGTGACAGGTAGGATAAAAAGGAGGTGAGGGGGACGGTAAAAAAAGCCTTCTTCTGCAAAATCATCACGGTCCACGGGGCAGGAGGGTCAGCCGTTCGAGACGTCCGTGCGACAAGCCAAGCGCAGCTAGACTCAACCCTCTCCGGAGACGACTTACAGTATCGCCTTTCTACAGCGTTCAGCGCAACAGAGTGGAAGCAATCGTAAATAGAGGAGAGGTAAGTTTGGGCTATTGAATAGAGGGTAGAAAGCGGAGCTATAGGCAAGATAAGCTGAATCTGGGCTCCTCGAGTTATAGGTTAGGAGGGCCTGCTGACTCGCACAGACACTCGTAGTTAGCGGGATACTCGCGAGGAATAAAACCGCTAATAGAGGATAAAGATGTGTCGTGGTCGCTGTGAGTGCGAGGAGGGAGACGGAGTGTTTGGTGTTCGCATACCGGTACGAGTGTGTACAGTACTGTTTTGCGCTCGTGCGCATACGCGGCTGTTTGCGGCGGAAACGAGAGTGAAGAGTGCTTGGTGGTCGCGCGCACCCACAGGTTGTTTACATTGGGGCGGAGCGCTTAGCGTGCGCGTGCCTATGCGGCTGTTTACGGTGGTGTTTAGCGCTCGTGTGCCTGTGCGACGGTGTTGTGGTCGCGTGCCTGCGCGATTGCTAATCGAGAAGCAGCGAGCTAAAGCGCCGAGCGCGCACGTATTCGCGCGACTGTTCGAACAGGCTCTTTAACTCAGAGCCAGCCGACCCTCCTCAATCGGCGGCGCGCGCATGGCAAACGTCCCGCCCGCCCATCCGTCGACCCCAACCCCCTCGCGTGCGATTGGTGTACTGGGATGGGCAGGGGGTAGAGGCGCGTTTGTTATTACCGGTGCACGTGCAGCGGGGGTGGGAGGGAGACACGCACCG